TAGTCTCCATTTGAATGCCTTATTTCATAAGGAGGCAGGCAGGGCAGCAGACACTGACAATAAAGAATTTACCTTTGATTCCTCTTTCTTCTTTCAGGTTTAATTCTCCTGCATATATATGAGCTAATCTATACTTTACGAGAACAATTGATGGAAAGTTCAACATTTTGCAACCACCCTTTAGTTTGATACCCTTTTTCTCTCAACTACGATTACAATTTACAAATTTTATATGCCACTATTTACAGCTTTTTTTCTCACTCATGCAAATGTAGACTTCTGCCAATGAAGAAGCAAAATGAGATCGTTAGCTTGGAGAGAGAGATAGAGTCACTAATTTGGAAAACAGTGAAAGAGCGAGAAAGAAAATGCGAAGAGGCATCTTCATTAGAGAAGGATTTATTTCACCACATACTAGAAGGGGCCATGAATGATCAAAGTCTTGGTAAGGATTCATCCAAGCGCTTCATAGTCGATAATTGCAAGAATATATACTTTGCAGGCCATGAGACTACTGCTGTCGCAGCCTCCTGGTGTCTCATGCTACTTGCTCTGCATCCTGACTGGCAATCTCGTGTACGGACAGAAGTGGCTCAAGTCTGCGGAGACAGCTTGCCAGCTGCAGACTCGGTCTCCCGCCTGAAAACTGTAAACACAATGCGCGAGCCGCAGTTTTGAAACTAGCTAGTAGTCTTGTACTCACTAGCATTACATCTCCTCTACAATTATTTCTGCCAAAGTGGTAACCTAACAAAGGGTGTTTCTTGCAGGTAACCATGGTGATTCAAGAAGCTTTGCGTTTATATCCACCAGGGGCATTTGTGTCGAGGGAGGCGCTTGAGGAGATCCAGCTTGGAAATGTTACCATTCCCAAGGGAGTATGCTTATGGACTCTGATACCAACTCTGCATCGGGACCCTGAGATTTGGGGTTCAGATGCAAATGAATTCAAGCCAGAGAGGTTCAGTGATGGCATTTCTAAAGCTTGCAAGTTTCCTCAAGCCTATATTCCATTTGGATTGGGTCCTCGCTTGTGCCTGGGCAGAAACTTGGCAATGGTTCAGTTAAAAATTGTCCTCTGCCTTATAATCTCCAAATTTACTTTCTCTTTATCGCCAAAATATCGTCATTGTCCTGCTTACAGAATGATTGTGGAGCCTGGGAATGGCGTACATATTCTAATTCAAAAGATCTAAAAGGGTTGACCAATTTTAACGGGGTTCTAGTTACAAGGCAGGAGTTTAGTTTATCTTGTTCTTTGTTTTCTTTATCGTCCTGTTTGGTACGGCTCTTAAATCTGGATCTCTTGATTGTGTGAAAGCTTCTAATATTGCTTCTATTGTTACACTTTTATGTTTTTTTTTATTCATTAAATAAATCTCAACCACCTGAAGCTCTTAACCAGACAACTTATTTTTTTAGAGAAACCAGTCATCTAATATAATAAAAATCAAAGCCATTGCGACAAAATTTAATTTCTGTGTATGGCTTTATTTATTGATGCCCAGAAAGTCTTCGACCTCTTAGTCCTCATTAACTTTTTGTTAATTAGGAAGGAAATTACGTGTTTAAGTTTTTTTGAATTTATAATTTAAAAAATTTAATCAGTATGCATATAATTGAATTAATATTTAATTGAGACATTATTCAATTTAAAAAGCAAGTTATGAGAAATAAATAGAAGAATATCACTATAAAAAAGGAATCAACGAGATTTATATTTGTTTGTCTAATTCTAATTGCATTTAATTTGAAAATTGAAGTTAAAAAAATTTTGGTTTAGTGATAAAGAAGAGGTTCTAATACAATGAGTCAGTTTGTTTAGTTAAATAATGTAATTAAAAAAAAAACTTGAAAATTGAAGGGTCATCTTGAAATGTTTTCTGTTAAGCTTTTATGTTTGTAATTATTTTACGTGATTTCATTTGGTTCGTGAAAATTAATTTTTAAAAAATATTTTTGGTAAAATGTTTATATTTTTGGAAGAATAGAAAATTTTTATTGTTTGCAAGTGTTTATAAAAAATATTGTTATTTATTTGTTGTTTGATTATTTTTTTTTAAAATTATTTTTTATTTAAATGATATTGATATAATTATTAAAATATTAAAAATTATTTATTATAAAAATTATTAATTTTATTAATATAATAATGTTAAAATAATATTATTTATTAATAAAATATTAAAAATATTTATACTGTTGAAATAATTATATTCTATATCAAAAGTGTTTATTATTGAATCAAAAGTTTTATTTATTTATAAACAACTCTTTTACATGAAAACAATTTTCAAAAAATGAGTTTTTTTTCTTGATTAATAAATCATTCTTCATCGTCAATTTTTTTTGTCAAACAAATACAGAAATTATAAAAATTATTTTATGCAAAATGAACGCAGACTATGGATTTAATTTTAAATTTGGACTAGTTTGTTTCCTCGTTGTTCCTAACTTTTCTCCGATTCAGAGGAGCGACCTCATTCTGCTCACTTTTCTCAATCGATGCAGAATTATTTGCCGCCTCATCTCTTTCCAAATACATTAAAAATGAAATCTCTGAACAATGTAGATACATGGGGATGCAGCGTTTTCTATTCGCTTTTAGACTTTCATTTTCATCCATTTCTTATTTTAATGATGTTTGTTATGCAAGACAAGCAGGCGGAGATCGAGTTGTCAATGGCTTCAACAATTCAACAAACACTCTTTCGAATTTTTTGCAGAATGGCAGACCAGATTTCACGAATTTTTCCCTGTTTCATGTTTGTAATCACAATCAATCCCTTTCTTTAGTCATTGTTACAGCACCAAGCTATCAAATTGCAATCCAATTTCAGACTATGTGAGCTTTCGAAATCTCCTTTCGATACCCATTTATGGTTCGACTCTTAAATCTCACTTGCATTTTCCTAGTGCTAAAATGCATTGTTTGGTCCTCTTACACTTTACAGTGCTTCAAAGCTAAAGAAATGATGAAGTTAAGGAGTAGTCTTTGGGGGGTTAGCATGCGAGGATCGTCTTCCCAACTTCTTCAACGAACTATTACTTTCAAGTGCGTTGCAATGAGCAACAGAACCAGAACAACTCGTCAGAGTCAGAGCTGCCCGTTGTTGTATACACAGCAGGTTAGAGTTATCACTGTTACGTCATTTTCCTTTTTCCCGATTAAAGAAAAGTATACTCTTGGTGCCTTAGATTGGTAATGAGAAGAAATTCCCTGTCATACTTGTTACTCAATTTCTTCATAGTCGAACATTGCAGTTGCAGTAACTTTACCATACCAAAACCTCTAATACCTGTTCTGGTTTAAAAATGCTGAACTTAGGATAGGTTTCACTAATGATGAGGGCCAAAGGATGAGTGTGCCAAGCATATTTCCGATCCCGAATAATTTGTAAAACATTTTCAAAGTTACATGTGCTGGCAGACTGGTTTTATAACTGCAGTACTTAGCAAGAAATCTAACAAGGTGGTTGTGCAAAATCTATTGCTCAATTCGCCAGTAGATATTTAATGTGTAAAATATATGATGCCTTAAACACACATAATAATTGTGTCATATATGAGTTGTACCTTGTCAGCTGCACTTTCTATCAAGAAACACTTACTTGAATTGCATTTGAGGTATTTCTATGTACTCCTGCAAACATTGGTCTTTGCAAATTTTTTCTATGGTGCTTGCATTAAATTTTATTTATCTAAGGGAAAAAAGATAGTTGCTTTAATTGATTGAGTAACAATAATATTTTCCTGCATTTTAATAATATAAATTCAAATCCATCTGGCTAAATTATTTTTTTAAAAATCTTGACAAATCGTGAATTGTTTGAACATCCAAATACGCTTAAAATGAAGATGTTCTTATTACTTTCTTTCCTTTTTGTGGCTCCTTTCTTATATCACTTTTCAAGTTGAATTGAGTTTAAGGCAAACTTTACTTTTGTCTTTATTGACGTAATCAGAGCGTCATTGTAATAGAGCATTTATTTTCTCAGCGTACATATGTCAATTCTAACTCTCCATGCAGCGAGAACCTTTTTCTGGTCATTATGTGTTCATATCTTGGGGAATCCACCAGAATACCTTAAATGGTAATTAATTAATTGCCTTATAAAACGGCCTTGTTCATCTCATTAGAGCTTCACAAGACAGAGGAAAAAATATAGGTGTTGTCAAAATTTAACAGAAAAATAATTCTGTCATCGCTAGTTTGCTCAAAAGAGGCAGAGTAGGTAATGTTCTGTTCATGCATTTTATGTCTAAACATTACTTGCTAGTATATTAGATAAAATTGGAGTGCATTCTCTCGAGCATTTTTTAAATGCTCTAATTGGTTCACCATTTTTAATCTAAACCATGATAATTTTTGAAATCTTGTTTCTTTTTATGTGTATTTATTTACCTATTGTTGTTTACATCTTTAGCTCGGATTATGATATTAAGATAGCGTTGGTATATCTTCTTTAGTAGATCGATTGCGTTTATGTTAGATGGGGAAAAGTTTTAAATTTTATTCCTGAAAAAAATGTCTGAATCTGGTTTTTCTGTCAAAAAGAAAGAAATTATTTTTTAGTGCTAAAAGAAAATTTTTGATTCATGATATGCTCTGAAAAAAATGTTCAATCTTCCCCTATCTCTTTAGACAATGGGTTGTTGTGATGGTTATATGATAATGCTAAAACTACTATAATTTTGGTGCTGACATTCTTCAGATTTAAAGTAGCTTGGTTTAAGACTTTTCAAGCAGTATTTTTTGGAATCAGAACTGTGTGTATAAGTTGGCCATTTTTGGCATCAGAGATAAATATTGTTTATTGGATGGGAGTAGAGGGTGCCCAAGGAGGACGTCAACATACCAAAGGAAAGAAGGAAGCACGGAATGGAAGATATAGCTTAATTCATATGGAAAATATATGTCTAGAATTCTTTATTGTTCCTTTTCCTCTAGTACTCTTATCCGTTTTTAGTTGGAATTTCACTTGTATTGATGTGTTTATGTTTGTAAATGTGTATCACTGTTGTTGTCGTATTGCCATTGACATTTATGATTTCACTTTTTAAACAGGCAGACAGAAACAAAGGGAAAAAAGAACTCTGTTGCATTTTATAAAGCTACAAAATTGCATCTTATGGTACTTATTGTGAGAACTTACAAGAAAAATACATTATGTTAAGTGGGGAATATAGAAGGAGTCCACGAATAGTTGAACTGGATGCACGGAAAGCACAAGAATCGAGGAGCCAAAATATGGCCAATGTGATATGTGAAGTGATGGACGTGGAGGAACTGGATAAGGGACAAGATATTTTGAAACAAAAGCGCGGAAGGAAAAAGGTTAAGGTCAGAGCTGTCCAAGATCTTGTTGTTAATTCAGTTGAATATAAAGATCAGAAGGTACCTTCTGTGACTTATCCTTTTCAAACGTTTTACCTTGCAGTTATACACGTTCTTTTGTTCTCTCAAAGATAGAACTAGACCTGCAAAAATTTCATGCCCACTTTACTTTGAAAATTTAAGAAACAAAGATTCTTTTCGATTTTGATTTTATCCAAGTTGGATGAAACAGTGAGAGAACTAACAATGTGGAGCTAGAGAGGACTAACAAGGAGCAAGAAGTGTTGAATGCATTCCAATCATATGGTATGATGGGGAATGTGATGGTTAAAATATTGCAATACATGCTAAACACAAGATGCCAAGTAATGTAAAAGTATGTAGCAACAAAATTTCTTTAAGGGGAAGGTGTATAATATAGAGATAGAAAGTAATGGAGAGTGAGAGGAAGTGAGGTTGGTGAGAAAGCCGTTGATTTGGTATGTGAAGGGGCAATTTGTGGATTTGGGAGGTTGGTTCTATAGATGTATCTCTGCTAACAAAAAGGGTAACAAAATATCACTACGTTTTTATTGATTATGTAAAGAAAGTATTAACCAACATAGGTAGGCCATCTGTTCTTTATGCTACATGATTAGTGAGTATCATTAAGAAAGTTTGGCACGTAATTAGGCTCTCCCTAATGGATATGACAAATTGGATAAGCATATCAAACCCATCTCTTTGAATGCCAGTCATTAGAACTAATTTAAGATTCCCTGCAAGGTCCAAGAAGTGATTAGATCATAGCCTTATTCTTTTGCATTATTGATGCCACTGCTGTCCCAGATTGATTGCTGTGTCAATTGCTGCTAATTGCTGCTATTGTAGTCATTTAAGAAATTACCAGGAGTTCCATGGAGTGGCTCCCATCAATGGAATTGTTATTCCTATTTTTGATGCTAGTGATCTCTTACATTGATTGTTGTGTCATTTGACGCTAATTGCTGCTATTGTAGACAATAAATTGAATATAATTTGAAAGTTTAAGTTGAGATCTTGATAACAAAGATCTTGAAAAAATCAAGTAGATTATGGCTTGTTATTTAAAGAAATGCTATTATATTTTCAACAAATGTTGAATTTTTATGAAACTAATATATGTGCAATTTTTGAATAATACTACTAGAATAGCTATATCTCATTCACTAGAATCTTTCTCTTGATTATTTGTTTGCCTTCAATTGGACAGTCAAAAGTGCACCTCCTTCTCTTAGTGCATATATTTAATCCTTCTCTTTAGGGAGCATAAATAGTAGAATGTATCTAGGAGCATAATATATTCCTCTAGCTTGAGTATCAACAGAGGCTGTCTTTTTCTGGAAAATGAAGGTGTTTAACGTGGTACCTTTTCAATAGAAAATATGCTAAAAGTCTATGAAAAGCAGGAGCTTGCCAAAGTTGGTTTTCTTATCCAAATATATGAATAAGTTGATAACACTAGTTTAATTATATCGTATATTTAATGTTGTTTGAGATGGGCTATAGTTAATCCATTTTTGTTTACTTTCATATTATGTTAAAGCTTATTTGATTCACCTGCAGACTGACACTGGGAATGATGAAGATCACCTTATCAATGCTGGTTAGCTCATGCTTAAATTTAAAATCGAAAGTGCAGTGTTATCATTTCTCATATGAAATCATGTGATGTATTCATAATTTTTCACTTATTGCTCATGGTACGTTAAGCAGCTAATGTGCCATCTAGAGCTGCAACACCAGAAAAAAGCAAGCTTGAACTACTGCTTGGCATATTGCAGAGGTTTGTATTTATCTCATGGACGAATCAAGCTCTGATAGCTTTAACTAAGAAATATAATGGATTAAATATCTTATTTCCTTCCACAAGAAAAAAAAAAAAAAGACTTCTGTGTTAATGATTGTTAAGAGATTTGCATTTGCTGTTACTTTTTCATCTATTGTAGGAGAGACACACATAAAATATTTGCAGAGCCAGTAAATGCGGAAGAGGTGGGTACTTAGTAACTGTTTTATCTGTTTTCCTTTGGAACATTTCATTTTCTCTGTCCATAATACTAGTCCCTTTCAAATTTTCAAAAACCTGTGATTATTGGTTAACGTCTGAAAAACTTTAAACAGTTTATAATTTGTATCAAAATTAAAAAGATAGACTGGAAATTATTTCAACGTTAATATTAGACTGAAAGTTTGAATTATTTCGATGTTGATATTTTCACTGTTTTTGAAAATTTTTGAAGAGGGACTGTATTTGTGGAAAGGAACATATCTCATGAGTTGGCTAATTAACTATAGTTCTTAAACTGAAAGGTTGAATTCTATTATGATGTCATCAAAGAACCAATGGATTTTGGCACGATTGCAAAGAAACTGAATGAAGGAAGTTATCAAACACTGGAAGAATTTGAGGTTTGCTTCCAAAATGGTTGCTTATCTATTTGTTTGATCACTTATTTTTGGGCTGGGGAAGACTTTCATGTTGTTCCAGAACTTAGGAATCAAATTGCATTCTCATGTTTCTTCTGATCAGTGACAATTATGTTATTATAGCAGCTTGAGGACACAGTATCACTTTTCTCTTTCTTGACAAATGATTTCTGTGGAAATTTGGAGCTACCATTTTTTCTTTTCTTTTGGTTTTGATGCACTCAATTCTTTGAAATGTTGATTGCAGTATTAAATTTTAACTTTTTGTTGCATTATAAAGTCATTGACATTTCTTCCATTGTATTTGCTACACATATTTCATTCTAAGGAATATAATCTGTAACTTAAATTTACTACTTATCACAATCTTATAGCAAGCCATGAGGATTTTGTGATGTTTAAGAAAGTTATCCATCTAAGTCTATTTTACATCTATCTCTTCAAGTCACATACACTTACAACATCCAAATTACATGGCAAGTGAATTTAGGCTGTTAGTTTTTGGAAAAATCCTTTGATGAAATTACTATATCTCCATTGCATTCAAAACCATGATGACCATGATTTAAGACCTTTCTATGAGAGCTTGTGTCATAGAACTCTTGGATCATCAATTAAGGTCTTTTAATTCTTTACACGCATGATTATTTTGATATCCAACAATGCCATGCTTTTCAATGCTTCAAATACCATCTATTACAGACAGGTAAGTCAACCAAAATTTTACTCTATCTTTAAACTATGTAACAATATTCTCTGCATTTTAACCATAAATTGTTGATGTTCTCAGAATTTTCTTTGTTTCCTGAACCAAATGAATTTTTGTTTTCCAGGCACGTGCCTTAAAAGAACTAGCTACAAGGCTATTCCTTGCTCTTAAAACTGATCCTGAAAACTTTGAAACTGAAGCTTCCATGCGAAGAATGGGAGTTGGTAGGAGGTCAAAAGCTGACATTAGAATTTTGAACTGTAACTCTAACAACAAGAATAATACTGGAATTGGTGCAAGAGGTAGGTCATGCTACTCATTTGTGCGGTATCTAGTTTTTTTTTCTTTTTTTAATCAATATTTAGTTTAAGCACGTCTATCTCCTCTTACTCCAAATTTATATTGACCAAATAAATGTTATTTTTCTGGTATAAGTATCAAATATTATGCAATAAAATAAATGCCTATAGAGATTATTATGAATATATGCAAATACAATGCATCAATATGTAATACATGAGAATGTGTTTGGTACACAAGATTATGATAAGATAGGATAAGATGATATTATGAATAGGATTAGATTAAATAATGTCATCTTGTCTTGTGTTTGATGAATGCAAGGATTCGGATAGGATAATTTATTTATTGGTCAAAATTATCCTTCCTCAAAGGTTATACAATTTAAATTATTGATATAATTTTTAAGGGTATAATAGAACATGTAAGTTCAATCCTATGGATTAAAAATAATTCTCTCTATTTTGGGAAGATTGAATCATCCTATACCAAGAGGATGATTAATCCTTCTTGTAATCCTATCCTTTTCTTAAGATACAAACCAAACATAATATAGGATGATTATTATCCTACTCTATTCATCATCCTATGCATCAAACATGACCTAAGTGATAAAGGTTGTCATATAACTCCCAAACATGTGCAATGGATACGTTTTAAAGCATATGATTTAAGATAAGCTTTTGCTCTTATCCTAATCTTATTTAAATTAATTTAATGGTTTTCAAAATTGCATTTGAACAGGCCATAGAGCTCAAAGAGGACTTGATGACTTTGAAGTGGAAAAGCGTCAAACTTATAGAGCATGGAATTCTTTTCTAAGTGAGAATGGATCATTAGTCTCGGCAATTTATAACAGTCCAAAGCAACTTAAACTGGTGAGTATTGTTTCTTCCAATTGAATATATATCTGCATCTTGCCAAATAAACAATCTAGGGACATGGTCTAAATATGTTTCAAAACCCTTTTTACTTCTAAAATATGTCAACTGTCTTCATTACACCCAAAGCAAGTGCACTTTATATGAGATCTCTATTAGGACTTTGTGGGCATATTTTAAACATGCAAGTGGCAGGTACTTGTGGGAATTAGTGTTTCGATTGGCATTAAGGTTGGAAATGTTGGAATTAAAGAATATATTGAGACTTCCGAAATATGGATAAACCAATGGATATAAATTATTGATAATGATTTAAAAGAAAAAAAAAACAGAAATTCATAGTTTAAGTTTGAAAATGTTGAATAAACTTTCAAATTCACTAATTCATTAATTATGTATTTTTAACACTATGATTTATAGAGCATGAGAGATGGATATATGGCATATGGTAGAAGACATAATGATGTGTGATTCAACACTACGAGTGATATTATACAGACTTAGACTATTTAGATTATTAAGTTCAAGCATATATGAAATATTACAATATTGATAAATTTATTCACACTTTTTGAAGTTTTATTTTCTCATATTCATTTTAATTGTTATAGTATTGTTAAGATAAATATGTTAGAACTTCATGTGGTAACTCTTATTTAATAAGTCAAGAACAAAAGAAATTCATGAACCATGAAGTAGGATTAAATAAAAATGATTCAAGAATAAATTTTGAGCATGATGGTTAGATTGCTTTTTCTTAAGTTGTAATATTGTATTTCCAGCTAGAACTAAAGCCATTTTGCACTTAATTGTCATTTGCGTCCTTGCCACAAGACGGATTTCACATGGTGGAAAACACCTCATTTCAACATGGCGTATCACAATATGATTTGATATTTCAAATATTTTTATGACAAGTTGTTCTTATAATATATCATTTGATAAATTGTGAGAGCAAAAAGAAAAGGAAAAAAGAAAGTATAATTTTTGTCAGGAACCGTAGGCCTTGTTGAAGATTTTTTGAAACTGTGGTTAGTTTACGACGAAGGTTCGTTTGGATGGACGGTTAGAGTGGTTCCACCAAGATTAAAAATAATGACAATAAGATTAATTATTATAATGGTAAAATTAAAATAAACGGTGAGATGGGTTTGGATAACCAAAAAAAATTGGTAGTGAAGTGAAGTGTTACACATGAAAAAATGAGTATCAAAAATATTAAATTAAAGTTTATATATAGTGAAATTTGTATTCACTCAAAATATTTACATATTCTTTTATATTAAAAATGACTATATATTTAATGGTAATTATTGAATCATTTTTTGACCTATTTATGTAATTAGTATATGTAGCTGATAATATATAAATTTATTTTATGTAATTAATTATATGTATAAGTATATTTATTTATGTATTTATTTAAAATTTTTGTTATTAATTTATTTGTTTATTATGTAATTATATAAATATATTTATCATTTCATTGGATCCTTGAGGATCAGTCAATAACCTTGGCTGCGGCATGGTGGAAATGGCTCCACCGTGCCACAGCCATGTTATCCAAATGCTCGGTAAGTGCAATGGAGCTCTCAACTAACCTCTTTGGAGCTAAAGGAGGATCCAAATGGACCCGAAATGATTCTAAGTGCCTCATCCTTGCTATCACATTGTCTTGGGATTTATCCGTAGGAAGTCTGCTTTTATTACATTTCTTTGGCTGGGGACATGCACCTCATTAAATGTGGTTCTCACAGAAATAAAATCGAGGAAGTGTTTTCAGTCAAAAGCTATAGAGAATAGCATTCCCGTTATCATCATCTATTATTTACTCATTACTTGCCCTGACCATGCAGGATGAGAAGGTAGGTCTTGGATATATAGAGAGCTTAAAGCGGTTTGCTAAAGATTTGGGTCCTACAGCTCAAATGGCTACCATGAAGAAGCTAGAGAGTTACATTTCTGAAGCTCTGAGAGTTTGGAATGTGACTACAAACCGTCAGCACTGGGCCCCAGAAATGCAAATTCCTAATGCAGCATATGCATCAAATATTAAGGTTGCTCCATCTTTTAAGGTCCCTTCAACTACATCTGGATGCCAAAATATTTCAGGTGATAAAATGGACTTTCACAGTGGATTCTCAAATGTAGGACAGGCACCAATGGATGACACTATGAACATAAATAATTCCTTAAACGGAGGAATTAGTCAACCTGGTGGCCGAGTGGAAAGTCTTGGTGACTTCCAAGAGAAAATGACTCAGTCAGAGAGTAGGGGGTTTGCTCCATCTTTGAATCTCCTTGGGAATTCTAATAGGCACCAAACATTCGCAGGTGCAATAATGGATAGTCCATCGTCCTTATGGAATGGAGGAAAGGTGTCTACAGTTAATAATATTGACATGAATGATGCCTTCAATAAAGGTAAAGGAAAACTTGGAAATATAATGGACGTCCAAGAAAAGGTGGTGCAACCCATGAGAGGGGGTTTAGATAGCGGAGCTGCTTTCAAGGATTATGCTGCTAGTGAAAGCAATGGGGTTCACTTGGCTTCTTCTTTTCCCAATTATGGTTCAGGGAAAGGAAAACTTGATTTCTCTGCTTTGTGGAATACAAAGAGCAACCAAAAGGAATTGGGCAGGACAAGCATGATTGTAGACGCATTCAATGTGGATAGTACTGTACAAACAGCTGGGCAAGCTTCTTTGTGGTCTAGGATGCGAGAGTCTACACCCACAAGAAACAGTAGTGCTTCCACGTCTTTATGGCGTCCACCTTCTCAAGTCTTGACAGGGTTGAATAACAGTCAAGCCATTGACTACATGAGCGGAATTGGTTCTCATTATCCTGATGAAGGTTCCAGATATATAAACAATGTAGAGCAGGGTGGGCTACTTTCAGATTTGTTCAAGCCAGTGGAGATGGGACCGCAATCCTTGACTGAATATTGTTTTCAGGAGCAAACTATATCACCTGAAATGGCATCCCTAATGCAGCAAAAAGAAGAATTGGATTCACTATGTGAAGTTCCTCCACTTGAGGACTGGCTTGTGAGTTTTCCGCAGGAGCATGTCATCAGAGCATCATCGAATGCATTGGAGTATGAGAGGTTTCAACCTCAAAGCAGGGGGGAGTCGAGCAGTAGAGCTGCTGCTGATAGGGGCCAGAAGCAGCCGGTGCTGGGTAAGGAGCTGCAGCAATGGACGTGGCTATAATTCTATAGACCTGATTAAACTGCCTACATTTGGCTGGCATAATAATGCAAATGAAAGAGACTTTTTTTGGGTGAAAACAGAGATGTTCTATTTTGGTGGTTTTAAATCCTAGGGAAACTAAGACTTGTCACTTGTGCTGTTTTAAAAAACTCTTGGCTCTGCCTTTCTATGCTCTTATTTGTGTTTTTTTTTTTTTTCCCCTTTACGTGTGTGTTTGTGTGTGTGTGTGTGTGTGTGTGTGTGTGTGTGTGTGGTAGAATTAATCCATCATGGAAACAAAAGTAGCCAGCTTTTGGGTGGAGATAATGTTAGTAATATATTGGTAACGAGAGACGACAGAGCCACCTAAGCCAACCCCACTTTGACTTCTTCCTGTATTCTATGATCTTCCTTCTTCAGTTCCTTGTAAGAATAGACGAAGAACAAGGCCATCCAACAAAAGGAGAGAGAAACACAAGAGATGGTGGCGGTTGCTGGTGCTGCGGCCGCCACAATTTCTAGCACGACTAGCATACAGATAATGATGATACAGGGTGGTGGTAGTTGTATTGCTGGTGGTTATCCATCCGTATCCATGGAATTGCGATGGATAAGCAGCACAAATAGGAGAAAGAACCTAAACCCAAACCCAAATTCAAGGGAGTTTGGCAGTTTAAAATCAAAATCACCGCCATTAGTGATGCCAATTTACATATCAACAGACCCATCCCACGTTAATCTTCAACAGCTCAGTGAACTGTACAGTAGTTGTAATCACTCCTGCCACCGATTCCCTGAGGTGAACCCCAACACCGGCATAATTGAAGAAGCCATGGACTTGAACAAGCTCCGGATTGCTCTCTCCCACAGTTGTATGATTGTCTCCGTTTTCTGCAAACCTCAGCATGTCAATGCCAGTAACATTGCCAAGCAAATCCAAAGCCAAGAACAGCAGAAGCAAGTGAACAAGGGTTTTATTGGAGATTTGATGGAGAGTGTAATGCCAGTCACCCCTTCCAACGGCCAGCTTGTGGGCTTTGGCCGTGCTGTTTCTGATTTGGGATTTACTGCATCCATTTACGATGTCATGGTACCTGTTTTGATATCCCTTCACTTGTGGAGTTTAATTAACTAACAACTTAGCATCCTAACATCCAACCATTTATAACCTCTTGGAAATTTTCTTTCATGTGTGGAGTTGAATTATACTAATGAACAATTTAAAATGGAGAATTTAGCTGGTAAACCATAGAAGATGCTTCCTCTTCTTTGTTCCTGATATCCTCGCTCTCTGGTCTCTCCCTTGCACACACTCCTTACGAAAAACCTTTGGAGCATTGCTTGGAGATTTGTTCTGTGATGTAATTCAGCCACACAACCCTTCTTAAACTTTGGGTATCTATCTCATGTTGTATACTTTCAATTTTTTCCTTCAAAAAAAAAAAAAAAAGGTAAAGGTCTAAGTTATACACTGTTTTGTGGCTTCTGAACTGTATGCCCCTCATTTTTGTTAGTATGTTTGCTTCTTTTTTTTCTCTTGAAAGATTAGTAGTTTGTTTCTAATATATTCTTTTGTAACCTTAAATATCATTTTAATTAGATACTTGACTACCATTTGTATTCATATAATTATGTTCAGTGCCTTCCAGGTTATTCCTTCTTTACAGGGAATGGGAATTGGCACGATAATAGTTACAAGGATTGTAAGGTTTGTCAATCTTAATTTGCTTTTTTTAATCAGTGTCAATTTTAATTTCTGAAAGTTACTAAATTTGAACATTGTCACCTGAGTTGTCTTTCCTAAGCACGGGACATGCTGCCTGCTCTGTGAAAGCGGGCAACTTTAATCTTGTCTTCTTTCAAGTTAAGGTTCAGTGATACATATTCAGCTTCTTCTAGAAATGAGTAAGACGTCACCTGCTTCAAAATCAAAATTGTTGTATCTGAATAGCTGGTAAATTCTGTTTATTTTAGCATTTCTTCAAGTTTTGTTGTCAAAATTCAGAAGAATGCCCAGGAAATGCACAGTGGAGAATACATTGCTTATTATAGCCTTATTCTTAACCATGCAGTTTATTAAATGTCTACTGGTAGTGCTGAGATGATATGTACGAATTTAACATTTTCCTCCTTCTGCATGCAGAATGCTCACAGGTAGAGACATTTATGACATAGCTGCACTTTGTTCCAGGAAGGAGAGGTAAGTCTTGTCGTTATGCTGAAATTTCAAAACCTCTGTGCTCTGCTCAGCATGTATTCTCTGTTTCATAATTGGTTTGAACCCTGGTTTTATTAATTAATAACAGTGTGCAGCCTCTATTTCTTGCTTTGAGCCCCAGAAATCATTCTAGTATACCCACATAAGCTGGAGAGAAGCTGATTTATCCTTAATACATGTTGCAAAGTCCTTCTAACAAGGGCCATCCAAGTATATTACAATTAACCTACAACTTTCTGGGCATTATTTTTTCTCCCGAATGTACTGCATCTTACTAATTTTATCTGGCTCAGTGGCTCGCCCTAAACGAGAATGAAGAAAATTCTAATAGGGCTTACAATTTGATCATCAGATAGGTGCTTCCTGCTTTTACTGAAGTTTTTAGTTTATCTCGTTCAATGAACAGCATTGTATAGACTTGTTGAAACCTGAGAGAATATCTATCAAGGTAAAGGTTGGAATGTTGCTTTTGCAGGACTGCAGATGTTACACCATAGGTCAATTATAAATGATTTATATTCCTCTACCATTGGTAGGATTCAAAATCATGATCTTTATAGCTTATTTCAGGTTCTTCTTCAAAGCGTGTGGATTCAGAGATGACATCTTGGGCTCTACTACGATGATGTATTCTAGGACAGTTTCCACTTGTTTTGAAGGTGACCAGATGGTTAAGCGAGCTGGTAAAAAACTCTTGTTAGCTCCACCACTCAGAGAACCATTTGCATCTTCCAAGACAACTAAACCACAAAGTTGAACAACATGGTGCCTTCGCCTTCCGTGGCTGAAATATTGAGAAGACAGAAGTATTTATTTGATTGAGTGACTATTTATGCTCTTTTAACAGCATGTGCATGTCTCTAATTCTCATCCTCTTTTTACAGCATGAACTCAGAAACTCTCTATTGTACAGAAGAAGTCGAAATTATTGACTTCCCTGTTCTTTTTTTTGGCCTTATAGTTTGCTGGGGTATCATTGACTTTGTGGCTAACTGGCTATGAACATTTGCCATGTTAAGTTTTGTTAACTTTTTTCTTTCACGTAATTATCTCAACCTTTAGCCAATCTGACCGTAAGCCAAAAAAGTTGCCGTCTTATCTAGATTCCTGTTCATGGGCCATCTGTAGTGCACTCCCTCGGAAAAGGTTGACAAAAAATTACCCTCTAAATGGTGTGCTTAGGCATAACAATGTTCTTCTCATAAAAGTAAAGTAGCCTTCTAAACAATGCAATACAGCTTGGCCTTTTTTTAATAAAATATTGTTCAGACAACTTTATAAAAAGAACCTTGTTAAAGAGATATTCTGTCACTCTTTCTATCTTTCCTCACTCGTTTGGTATGGGGAAAGTCTGGGTTGAGGTCTGTCTAATTTCTGCTCGAGGGCTCCGGCGTTCGTCCTCTTTTTGGAAGCTACAGTGGTTTGCGGTTGGGTGGATTGATCCCAACAACAAATATTGCACCAAGATTGATGCTTCTGGAAATTCAAATCCGGTGTGGAAAACCAAGTTTGCGGCTTTGGTTGATGACTCAAATTTCCAAGACATGATGCTGCACGTTGAAGTATACGGTAGAGAGCCCCTTTTCCTTAGAGAAAGGCTTCAGGGAACTGCAACTGTTGTCATGAAAGAATTTCTGGCCAAATTTAACAACAATTCAGCCTCTTCAAGGGTAGGAATTGAAGAAGTAGGAAGCTACCAGTTGCGCAAAAGAAATTCCAACAAACCTCAAGGATTTGTTGACATCTCAATTCGTATCTTGGAGGAAAGGGAAGACTCAGGCTCATACCTAGGTATTTATGGCTAATGTAATTAGTTTCACCTAAATTGAATTGTTTTTATGCTTCATTTTGAGCTTAGTTCTTGCTAATTAAGAGAAAGGTTGGTACGGTCTCCAAATAGCATTGATAGAATCTTTATCTTTTCTTATTAACTTGAACCATTTTAGAGTTTGGATAAAAGTTTTCACTGCTGTGATGATTTTCGCCTTGTGATTATTGAATTCAAAAATCTGGTTTTGCAGGTAATGATGGAGGACTCGTTCTAATGGATCATAGGAGTAATATTCCATTGTCTACTAAAGGTGGATCAGGACACACTTATCCAGCAGGGGCAACTGAGCTGCCTCTAGCCCCTCTTCCACAGCCAGATAATCGATCTCAACTAAACATTCCATCTACACATTCAGTGCCACGTCCTACAAACTATTGCAACCCTTCTCTAGGTGAACCTGGTTATCCATCAGCTTCTGGGCCCTGCTATTGTCCACCTAGGACTCCTCCACCTCCACCGCCACCCTCTAATGTTGGTTACATTCCCACTTTCCTCCCAAGAACATATCAGCCAACGGAGACCTATTTGAACATGCCATCATCTGGGCCTGCACCTGGACAAGGGCCAAGACCTGGTTTTGCAATGGGAATAGGAGCAGGAGCACTGGCGGCTGGTGCTGTGATATTTGGTGATGACTTCATGTCAGGGTTTGATGTTCCTGCAGGCTTACAGGACACGAGTCTGACCATATCCATGGACCCTCCTTTCTGATAAAACAGTGGCTTGCTGCTGTAATGTGTTGTAATTGTAGTAATCGAGCATGACGTTAAAATATTTCATAATGTCTAACGCATGCTATTGAAATATGGTTGAGAGAATTGATTCAATGGACCTTGCTTATAAAGAGTTCAGCATCCTAAATAATGGGAAGTTTACTACCACGGTTGCAGTAAGGTACACGATGTTGCACATTGTTAAAAAAATGACGGTGATCCCAATTCTATTACAAGTTCCTGTAAGAGAGTAATTTCAACAGTCAATTACAACTTTTAGAAGAACATATTTTTCCTTTTTTTTTTTTTTCTCTCTTCTTAAACAATGTTTTTTTGGTTCTCTAAATGTTTCATTACATGGATTCACGAGAACTGCCCTATTTAGAATCTGAGAAACTCCACTGCTCCTAAAAGAGAGGAAGATTTGAGGCATACAAGTTTCAAGTTACTGCTTGCAGAGAATGCTCCTTTGAACCACCAAAAGCTCTTTGCAGAAACTTCTCAACGACTCTAACAAACTCTTCGACCTTTTCCTCATGGGGCAAGTGACCGCAATTCTTGATTACTTCAAGCTTAGATTGAGGGATCGCCAGTGAAAGTCTCTCAGCATTCCAAGAAGGAACTATTCGATCAGTGTCACCCGTGACAATAAGAACTATGTTTCATTGAGACAATAAAAAGTGAAACCATTACATTCTGCCTATTGATATCAACAATAAGGCAACATAACTAAAAAAGTACAAAAATATAAGAATTGTGATAGGATTAACATTCATATATTCATGTTGAACTAGTGAAGTGATTAGCAGTAAATATGAGTGGCATATCCATTACCCAATAAGATAATAGCTAGACTGATTAAAAGTTTTCGGTTCACAAATCTTTCAGGAAACATTCTTTCAACTTCTTTATATATATCTTTCTTAGGTTCAACATAGCCTTAACAAGTAACGGTTAACTGCCACAGTAATTTGACTTGGACTGTTAGTATGGCCAAGGTGTTGTCCCGAATTGGCTACAAGTAAACATGGATTTAGCTGTCAGAGACTCAACACATTCATTGGCACCATTAATAGAATAACTTTCTCATTCAAAGGGGCTTTTCAATTCGCCAGCTTTCCTGATTATCTTTCCAATTTAAAAGTTATAGTATAGAACAAGAAATTATTACCAGGACAGGAGATTTCATGTAGTCTTTTTGCCAGTGGTGGCTTCATTTCAGACTTGCCATTTATAAGCATTGCTGCTGTGAATTCTACAAGAGCCCTGTCCCAACCCTTAGCTCTCAGTGGCTGCATAAGATACAAATCTTTATTCGACCACTATAAGTTGAAGGTAACAGCAAAATAAATACCAGCTAAGCATTCCATTCCATCTTTCCAGGATTAAGAATAAGACAAATTAGAGAATAGTGTAAATCACCTTGGTATACCCATCTAGAATGTGTTCAGTGACTTGTTTAGAATCATACCATGCAGTCCTTACGGCAGCTATACCAAATTTATCAATTAGCAACCTTGCCTGAGAAATAAGATAGTTAGCTTCATTGCACATAAAATAGATGGAAAACTAAAAAAAAAACAAAACCCTATTTAAAAGCTGCTTTGTTCTGAGATTTCTTTAAGCAACAATGTATAGGCGAAATGAATATCATGTTAAGAAAGAATTGCAGGGTTGTGTCAGGGTATATGCCAGGTCGTTTGGTAAAGCATTGATAACTGGAGATTTAATTTACCCATCTATTGGCGGTCAACTTCTATTAGTTAAAACCATTTGTGATTCTTTTGAAGTAATATTACTCACAAAATTCATAAACAGAAGCAGACATCTTCAAGGTGGTATCATACTTTTGGTACTTTTGATTTGCCAGGACAAAAAATCGACTTTAACTGGCAACAGCCTCTAACTAATTCAAGCTGCATGAATTGAAAAATCATCCAAAAAGAAAGTCAATACCAGCATTACGGGAAGGGCAGATTGAAGGAAAGAAGAAAGTGCTTTCTTATACAGAGAGTTGAGCATAACCGCCATCCCCTTTATCATTCGCATCACTGCTTCTGTGATGTACTTGGTAAACTTGGACAAAACTTCAAAAAGCTTAAAGAGCGGCTTCCTTATATTATTTGAGACCGATCTGTCTCCGTTAGTCTGGTTATTTCCTTCAGAGCGGTTTCCTTCAACAATCTTAGGCTCACGAATAGCACGTGGGGCCAATATTGCTGGGGCAATCAGGATCAGAGCAGCAATACGTTCAGGAGCTTCAAAGTATGCATCAACTGCTACAAGAGAACCAGCTGAATGCCTGGCATGCCAAGTTTTAAAGAGGTCAAGACTGAAGACAGGCATCAGTTTTCATGAAAGTGGAATTAAAAAAAGAAACAATCCCTCTTAGATAATTTATACAGGTACATTTGCAAAAGACACAAATAAGGATATAACTCGAAGGAGAAAGGCTTTTGTACGTCTCCATACCAAGCAAGAAAAAAAGATGAAGAAAGAAGCATACCCCACCAGAATTGCCTTTTCAGCAGCCAAGAAATCAATGAAGTACAAGGTAGCAAGCACAGAAAACGCCATGGAGTAGGGATTCACAGGTTTTGCATCACTTATTTGGGTCCCAAAACTATTGAGTCTTGAAGTCAAACCAAAGGCTGGTCTATCAAAGGCAAGAACTTTGAAGCATGTGAGGTGTGCCAATCGCTTCATAACTCTGTTCCATGAGAAAACAGAAGCTCCAAAACCATGTAGTAGAATCATAGGAAGACCGAGCTTCAATAATGGGGTTTGAGTCTGGTCCTGGACATCCTGGCTGTGGGTGAGTAAAGATTTATCTGAGGAATGTGAGCCTGGGTCATAAAGCTTGTGATGGATTTCAACCCCTTGAAACTCACAAAAGCAACTGTCTGGATCAGCTAGGAGTTTTGGATCCAACAATTCATCTTGATCAATGCCCGCTATTCTCTTTTTTTGCTGCTTCCTTCCGGCGTCGATTAATTCCCCTACGAATTTTAATAGTATGTTCCTAGTAATTTAGTACTATAACAAACTAAGAATAAACAATTTGTGCGGGAAAGAAAGGGAATACTTAACAAAAGGATAGATGGCAAGATTTGTCACATAAAAAAGCAAAGGAAATAGATGTGAAGAAGAAAGGAGAGAAACGCACCTGCTGCAGAGTATTGGGCACCGGAGCCAGAGCCGGAGAGGGAAAAGGCATGGGTGATGGTGGTGGCAAGAGTAGGATAGCGGCGTTTGGAATTGGAATGGGAGGAAACAAATGTTTGACAAGTTTGGTTGTTGCTGCCAATGGCAACTCCATTGCTTATACGCAGAAACTGGTAGTGATATTGAAACACCAACCCTCCCCCACTCATAACTCTGTCTGGGTCTGGGAGCAACGATCATACAAACGAATTAAAAACCAATTTGTATCAGGTAGTACTTGCTACAAGTAAAAGGAAGCTCGACCACTGTCTGTAGTCAAACTAAAGCAAGAATGTTGATATCTATATCTAATGATAATTGATAACACCACCATACCATTTTTTTTTTATCGACTGCTAACTGCTAAGTAGAGAGCAGTGACTGCTGTGGTTATTGTTTTTTTATTTTTTATTTTTTTCGGAGGATGAGAACACTTTTAATTGAGATTAAAAATAGCGGAGTTAATTAATTATTATTAAAATAATTATATTAAAATTTATGAATTTATAATATATATTTGATATTTATAAAATTAATAAATAATTAAAATTATTTTGTATTAAATAATATTTTTAAATAAATTAAAATTTATTAAAATTATTTTATATCAATAATTTTGTTATTAAATATTTCTTAAAATTATTTTGATATATATTTTAATACTATTTAACATTTAAAATTTCTTAATTTTATTTAACAAACAGAAAGCATTCCACGGAAATTCAAATGTTCTAATTCAAAATTGACAGAAAAAATATTAAAAATGAAAAAGGAAGTCTTAAGAAATAATTATGGAGAGGGAGAATGAGATTGAAAGTCCTTAACTGCACCGTTGATACTATCAAAATGCAGTCGAAGGTAAAAAGTGGCAAAATGGATATCATCACAGATCCAAATGAACACTAACTCAAGTAGTTAACTTCCACGTCCACTTCCACACAACTGAAGAGGTTCGGTTATGCCAACGGCCAACAGCCAACAGCCAACAGCCTACAGCCGTGGCCAGGTGTCACGGGCCGCGCGTTCCTGCTACTGAAACCACGCGTCCGTGCCGCACCAAGACTAATCCTAGTCAAGGTCAGCCTTGTATCGTATCCATTTTTCCATGGACGGACCAATTCCAGTCCTACAAACCGCATGCCCATGAGCCCTTTCTGGCCCTGATCCCGTAGGGTCGCTCATTTCGAACTCTATGGGGAGGAACCCACTTAAGCTGGTCGGCAGCCAGCTAGGAGTCTCTAGGCTCATTTCATCCCACGAGACTCGGTTCTTAGGGCTTAAGCCCTTAGCATCAGTATCGGCCACCCGCACGCATGATTGACACCCCACATCATGCTAGTCCCGCAAGGGAACTTGGGCGGACTGCCCCAGTGGCAGCCCACCAACCCGACTAGCCATAGGGGTCTAGCAGCATGCCTGCCTGCTAGCCCGCACACCCCTTTGGCCCGATGGCATCCCTCTTACGTAAACACCATCACATGATCCTTCCGGCTCGAGGAGGGGAAACCGAGGGGCTTAGCGATCTCTAGTGCCAAACCCCATGGCTCAACGCAAAAGCGCGATACGAGGCCCGCCGGCCCCAACCGTCCCCGGGTTTACCTTACCCGAGAAAACATCGGGCCACGCTCGTGACTCTACGATGCCCGCCCACCTAGACACCACGAGTGCCTAGGAGTAGCTCACTTCAGACTAGCCAGGCCCCCGCCTGCCCGCTAGCCAAGGGGGTGGTGGAGAGCTGACACCAATTCATCCCCCTATAAAGAGCGTTAGAGATTTTCCCAATATGCTACCAGTGACCGTAAGAATGTCTGAAACGGGGACACTTTTCTGCCCAGCCATCCTAGGGCCTTTCTCCGACTAACTCAGGGCCCCGTAACCTTCCTCTTGGTCACCATTGCTCCTTGATTCTGCTCGTTGCTCCACCAATCCACTCGAAGGTGCCTGCACATGGCTTCCACCGATGGCACCCGCCAAGCTACTTGGCTTGAGGGTGTCCGATCACTGTCCCGAACTTCCCCGCATATCTTGCGGCCCGGGGCTCCCATTGCCCCCACAACATGTTAGCATCATGTTCCAAAGCTCTGAATGCACGCCCGACTTCATTAGAACCGCTTTCCCGCCAGCTCAGTTTTGACCGCTGCTCGGTTCAGGGTCAGTCATGGTAGGACCAAGGCTGACATGACTCTCCCCCACTTACTATGTCGATGCCTCATCGACCCAAGACCACACCCAACTATCTTGTTGCACACAGCTGACATTTCCTCATATGTCTCTCACTTGTGCCCTCAAGGATTGGGTCGAGGGTCCCGTCACATGAGGCACCGTCCACAGTACTCTCCATTGTTGGTGATAGATTGGTCCATTATTGCTCAGCTTTGTTGTAGTTCGAACCGCCTAACCTATCTTGGTTGTACTCATATGGGCCATACCATGGCTTCATCCCTTGATCCTTGTTAGGTTGCGACCTCATGGTGCCCTCATTGATCGATGACCCTCAGTAGAATGAATGACCACAGCTTTGCCACTCATGTGGTGCGTCCCACCGGACGTGACCCCTCACACCAACTGCACGCTTGCAGCATCAACTCACTGATGCGCCCCTCTGGACGTGATGCTTAGGTCAACCGCACTCATGCGGCACTCTACATGATGACCCTAGCATAGTGGCATTCAAGCACTTTGGTCATCTCCCAATTGGTCCTCTCGGCCCCTCCAAGGTCACCTCTCTAGGTGTGGCCCTCAGGCCAACCGCCCCCAGACGGCACCTTAAAACGCGCTAACTCGGTCTTTGCCTCGGCTTGAACACTATGCTCCATTGCCCAAGCTCCTTTATCTTGGCTCGGTCTCGTGGGGAAATTGACAGGTCTCCCCACTTTTACTCGAAACTCAGCACAGCATTATGCGCAACCCTGTCTCCTCGATGGTTCTATTGTTCGATAGTTTTGACTCCAGCCTAGTTCCTAGGGCATCCCAAAATCCGCTTATACTCGGAGACCCACTGATTTGCTTGACTCGGGATTCACCCGCTCGATCCTCAAGGTCCACTGACCTGCACGTCTGAGGCCTTGTCAACTGGCCGTTTCCCTTTTCTTGTTCCACTGGAATACATCCTGTCGTGGCCCACTGACCACCACTACTCGTGAAGCCTTCCCTTTCGGCCAATACAAGTTCGATATCCTGGTTCACACACACACTCTCGTGATCCTCTGACCACAAGAACTCACGGTCCACTGACCAACGCAGCTCATGGTCCACTGACCACCTCGCTTGTGGCTTCAATCTTTAGCCACTTCATACTCTTCTGTGTAGTAGTCTCATGCTCGGACCCGAATACTTCGGCTTGCACCCCCGCTGGGGCACCTGCACCATAAAGCAAGTGCACACATTAGTAATTAATCTTGCAACTCGACACCCCCTGCCCCTCAGGACAAGGTTCACTCGGCCCACGTGGCCTTACACAACACCATTTCATGGTGTAAGTCCCTTTTCGCATCTCGGTCTCACTACGGTTCCTTCCACCGTAAGGGCATCACATGCCACCACATATGCCAACACCTTTTTCTAGGTGAGGCTAGACTCTGGTGCCCTTTTGCTAGGCGTCCAAGAGTCTACTCGAGAGCCATTTTACATAGGCCCAATATTTCTCGCAGCACGCATTGTTGGCTCTTTCCCGAGCCTCCATGGGCACAAAACCCGCATCTGTGTCTCGATAGCTCCGTTGGAGCTTGGCGCCACTGCAATTTCGCATCACTAGACCCACACATGGGGTCGCGTAACTCTCGCCACTGAGCCAACCTAGGCTCTGATACCAAATGTCACGGGCCGCGCGTTCCTGCTACTGAAACCACGCGTCCGTGCCGCACCAAGACTAATCCTAGTCAAGGTCAGCCTTGTATCGTATCCATTTTTCCATGGACGGACCAATTCCAGTCCTACAAACCGCATGCCCATGAGCCCTTTCTGGCCCTGATCCCGTAGGGTCGCTCATTTCGAACTCTATGGGGAGGAACCCACTTAAGCTGGTCGGCAGCCAGCTAGGAGCCTCTAGGCTCATTTCATCCCACGAGACTCGGTTCTTAGGGCTTAAGCCCTTAGCATCAGTATCGGCCACCCGCACGCATGATTGACACCCCACATCATGCTAGTCCCGCAAGGGAACTTGGGCGGACTGCCCCAATGGCAGCCCACCAACCCGACTAGCCATAGGGGTCTAGCAACATGCCTGCCTGCTAGCCCGCACACCCCTTTTGGCCCGATGGCATCCCTCTTACGTAAACACCATCACATGATCCTTCCGGCTCGAGGAGGGGAAACCGAGGGGCTTAGCGATCTCTAGTGCCAAACCCCATGGCTCAACACAAAAGCGCGATACGAGGCCCGTCGGCCCCAACCGTCCCCGGGTTTACCTTACCCGAGAAAACATCGGGCCACGCTCGTGACTCTACGATGCCCGCCCACCTAGACACCACGAGTGCCTAGGAGTAGCTCACTTCAGACTAGCCAGGCCCCCGCCTGCCCGCTAGCCAAGGGGGTGGTGGAGAGCTGACACCAATTCATCCCCCTATAAAGAGCGTTAGAGATTTTCCCAATATGCTACCAGTGACCGTAAGAATGTCTGAAACGGGGACACTTTTCTGCCCAGCCATCCTAGGGCCTTTCTCCGACTAACTCAGGGCCCCGTTACCTTCCTCTTGGTCACCATTGCTCCTTGATTCTGCTCGTTGCTCCACCAACTCACTCGAAGGTGCCTGCACATGGCTTCCACCGATGGCACCCGCCAAGCTACTTGGCTTGAGGGTGTCCGATCACTGTTCCGAACTTCCCCGCATATCTTGCGGCCCGAGGCTCCCATTGCCCCCACAACATGTTAGCATCATGTTCCAAAGCTCTGAATGCACGCCCGACTTCATTAGAATCGCTTTCCCGCCAGCTCAATTTTGACCGCTGCTCGGTTCAGGGTCAATCATGATAAGACCAAGGCCTGACCATGACACCAGGCCTGTTGTTGGTAGAGTGAGAGCCTTGGATAAATTAAAAAAAATGCTTTGTTTATTGGATTTGGAATATCCCATTCTCCACATGTTTCGTTAATAAATAAAAACCATCAGCAAGTCAAAAGGAAGAAACTAACATGGAAGCTCTGTTGTGCAAGAGATTGGGTGTTCCAGCATCACCATCATCGGCTTCGTCGCCCATTGTAGTTAGCAGAAACCATCCCATCCCAGAATTGGACTCCCCAACGGCAGTGAGAGTCAGAGTTAAAGCCACCAGCCTGAACTACGCCAATTACCTTCAGATACTGGGTAAGTACCAGG